TTCAGGATTCCCTTGCTCTGTCCATAAAACTTCTTGACTCATGTATAAGCTCCTCGTGATCACAATGAAGTGTTCTGGAATTCTCATTCTTCTCAGCGTTACCCATAGATTCTGATGAGCTACACAGTAGGTTGCCTTTGCATAGCCAATAAAGCAAAGTAACATCTTTCTGGTATTCTCTTCTTTAAGCCAAGATCCATCTGACTTCAACAGTGATGCACCTTCTTTCATGTCTTCTTCAGAATCTCATCTGAACCTTTGGTAGCTCCCTGTCAATGTATTTCTGTAACCATAGTTGGATAATCTTAAGCAAAAATTTACTTGCCTATGATATCAATGATACTGCTATATACTTTGAACCTTCTGTTGGGTCACCTTTCTTTGCAATGGTCACACATATTGATCTCTTCCGGTCAGACAGGCTAATTAGCTGTCTTCCAAATTTCCTGGCATAGATGAGTGAGTGCATCCAGTGCTCCGTCAGCTTGTTGAAATATTTCAATTGGTATTCCATCAATTCCTGGAACCTTGTTTTTAGCTAATGTTTTTAATGCAGCTTGAAAGTTTTCCTTCCTTCATCATTGGTCCTTGTTTATATGCTTCCTCCTGAAATGGTAGAATATCCATTAGTTCTTTTTGGTACAATGACTCAGTGTATTCTTTCCAACTTCTCTTGAAGCTTCCTGTGGCATTCAATATTATGCCCATATAATCCTTTAATATTTCAACTTGAGGTTTGATTTTTCCTTGAGTTATTTCAGTTTAAGATATGCTGAATGCCTTCTTCTATTTTAACTTTCTAATTATAGGTCTTTGAGGATATCCTTAAAATATTGGACTTTGTTTTCTCAAGCTGCCATTAAAAATTTTTTTCAGCTTATTGAGTGCCATATTTCCCCCCATTTTTGTTAACTATTCTATAATTAAAGCAAGTTGCAGATTCTCTTCTGACATACCCTTTGATCTTGTCTGTCATTTTAATGACCTTTGCTTTCTTTATTAAGGCTGTTTTTGATGTCCTCCCAGGGCTCTTAGGGTCTTCTGTGTTCAATATGTCCAATCTGTTCTTAAGATATTCTTGAAATTCAGGTGGGATAGACATACAAGTGCATTTGGCTCTTCTGGACTTTTAAATATTTTTCTTCAGCTTTATCCTGAATTTATAGATGAGTAATTAATTGATGGTCTGTCCCACACTCAGCCCCGGACCTGGTTTTAGCTGCTGATAATTGAGATTTGCATTGTCTCTTCCTACAGATACAGTCAATTTGATATACGTGGAGTCCATCTTCTCTGTCAGTCAGTTGGACTAGTGGTATTACACCACTTGTCTGCAAGTTTGTCATACTGTGGTGGCTTAGGTGTTACGGTGATGCTATGTCACTGGTATTTCAAATGACAACAGGGTCCTCCAAAGTGAACAGGTTTCAATATAGCTTCCAGAATAAGAATAGACAACACAGGAGGACTTAGCTCTGCACTAAGAAGGAAGGAGCCATGTCTGCATAGCTTCCAAGCATTGTCAGATACTCAAAGTCTAATGAATGAAAGCAGAATATTATAGGATACAGTGATAGAGGATGGGCCCTGTGGGTAGAAGGACACTCAAAATAGGACTGAGGAGTAGCTGATTTCTCAGAGTGGAGTCAGCCATGGTGATGTGAGTGCGGTAAAACTTATGAGAGTGAAGCTTTTGTGATCACCAGTTGATAATAGGACACAACTCAAGGTAAGGAGAAACAGCTTCAAAAGGTGCTAATGATCAGAACTTCGAATGAATAACGTATGAATCTAGGAAAATTGGAAGTTGTCAAAAATGAAATGGAACACATAAAGATCAGTATCCTCAGTATTAGTGAGCTGAAATGGACTGTTAATGACTGCTTTGAATCGGAAAATCATATGATTTACTATACCTGGAATATGTCATTAGGATTATGCTATGTTAGTAGTGTCAAGAGAATAGCAATGCATTAGTTGTTAAAAAGTGCATTGCAAAATAAATCATGAAGTATAATGCAGCCTGTGATATGATTATATATATCTGCCTTCAATGCATTCCAATCAATACAATTATTATTGAACTTTATGCCCCAACCACAAAACTAATGACGAAATTGAAGAATTTTACAGATATTTTCCACCTGAAATTAATCAAACAGTCAAGAGTCATTGATAGTTATTGGCTATTGAATTGCAAAATTCGCAAATAAAGAGGAAAGAATAGTAGTTATAAAATATGGATTGATAATAGAAACAAAGTGGAGATCACATGATAGGATTTTGTAAGATGGGTTGTTCACAGCAAATGCTTTTTCAACAGCACAAAAGGCAACTCCTTTGTAGAGTTTAAGGATAGTGTTTCCCCAGTTCAAACTCTTTTTACCTTTAAAAATTTTCCCCATCTGGCAATATAGTGGTTTTATACCACTGCAAGGTCTGTAGTTCGAAACTGCCAGTCATCCCATGGGTGACAGATGAGGATTTCTACTCTCACAGAGTCTTGGAAACCCTTATGAGTAATTCTACCTTGTCCTATAGAGTTATTGGTTTTTGGCAGTGAGTTTTGTTTTGTTTTCTGATCTTTTACAAGAGGGCCCCTGATAGTTAACATGAAGGACTGCTAACCAGAAAGTTAAAAACTCCAACCCCGTGCCACTGAGTTGGTTCTGATTCCTATTGACCCTATAGGACAATGGCAAACTTATCTAAGATGGTAACTCCTTACGGGGGTAGAAAGCCTCCTTTTTCTCTCCAGGCACAGCTGGTGGTTTTGAACCTCTGACCTTGTAAGTAGCAGCCCAAAGCATAACCACTATGCCACCAGAGCTTGAAACCATCAATTTCTCCTCAGGGAAATCTGCAGGCGCAGTCGGACCCTGTTCTATAGGGTCACTATGAGTTGGAATCAACTATATGAATTTTTGTTTTTGTGTCCCTTTAGGCACAACTACATACATTTCCCCCTTTCTTTTGAGAAGCATAGATGTTAACATGCTTTTAATAATAATCCTCTGGAAATCCTTCTTGAATGCCAGAGGACAGTAAACACCATGTAAAATATTTTTCAGAACTGCCTTGGTTGTTCCATCCTTTAGCGTCATTTCCCTCATATTAAAAATGGTATATTATACTTTTTTCTTAAAACTTTTTTAATGACAGAACAAAAGACTGAATTTGTTTTCATAGTGTATTGGACATTTAAAAATACTGGTAACTTATTCACTAGTGGTTTACTTCTTTGCAGCTATGACAACAGTCCCATTTATTGATGATTTATGATGCCACATGTATCATTATTGATGCTGGATGTCCATTATATCATTCAGTTCTAATAGCAGTGGCACACGTATAACTTGCTATTGTATAGTCTAATACCTGGCACTCCCATGCGCATTAGCATAGAGTTATGTTTCGTAAGATAATATTTTCAATATCTTTGACAATATGGAAATTGATCACCAAGACTTTCTTTTGAAGTTCTTCTGAGTACATTTAAACCATCGGCTTCCAATTAGTAGTCAAGTGCTTAAGTAACCATTTGGGTTCCTCAGGGATAATGATGACAGCAATGACGGGATGGCAAAGATGTATTCAAGGTCTCACAAAGCTTAGTAGTGAGGTGGACCCATTGAAAGCCAAAGCACAGTCTTCTTAATATGTTGTCATATTATATTCATAAACCTTTATCCTGAATTTATAAGTAAAAAATATAAATAACATCAAATGTTATTTATAACATATCATATATGCCTATACTACTGAAGCAGTGATGAACTAAACTTTTAAGACACACAATTTCACTGTGTGTCTAATTTACTAGATTTGAGAAAACAAACACACAAGCAAAAGCTTATAATACCCTAAACTTCATCTCCAGCTCTTCGTAAGTTGAGATAACCATTAAGATCATATGTCAACACTGGCATCTGTGAACAATACAGATGTATTTTGGACATGCAGCTGTCACCATGAATGTGCCAAACAGTACTTGCTCTTGCTTGTTTGTTTTACTCCATAAAACTATGCCAGATGTTAGGGCATCGGGGAGAATAAGGCTCATTAATTTGTACAGTGTGCTTGATGACTATTCAGGCAAGGAGCCATTTCTGACCTAAGGAAAATAACTGTCCGTCTGTTACCGACAACATTGGGCATGTTAAGCAGCTCTAAGACTCTTTAGAAATGGAAATAGACAAAATTCCTTTATTATGAGAATAGTATCAAATCTTTTTTAGTAAAATTAAAATGTTGTGCTGTGTATGAAGGCAAAATTAGTGTGATTGATTTTCACAATATTGAAGTTGATGGGTTGTGAACTAGGGCTGATGGGAAGCAGGGACAAATCCCTCAAGCCTGTTTGTGTAGAAAATAAATGATTACATAGAATCATATGGGTCTAGTCATTAACCTCTCTTCTCCCATATTGCTTCTTGCAAAAGACGCAAAACCCAAAATTGGTACCATTGATGAAGAAGATTCACCTTAAAGAATGAGCTAACCCACAGAAATATTTCTATACTCTGGACAGTATAGGATTATTTTTATCACTATACAGAGAAATTGGCAACACATATTTGAACAAAATTATAATATCTGGCCAGAGAATTCTGTTCCCAGATATCTTTATTTTATAAAAATAAGGCCGTATATATTGTGATCAGTTTTTCATAATTACCTGAGATTTATTCATGCAAATTTTCCCTTAAGAAACTATGAGCTGTTTTTGAAATCACAAACAAACAAACAAAAAAACGAAACTACTATTAGCGATTGCTTATTGCATACCAGAATTGTCAGGAGATCATTTTTTTGCTGGGTACTCATTTCCATCCCTTTGTATTTCTTTACACATAAGAACACATTTTTGTTAATTTTATTACTTTACCATCTAAAAAAATGAACTAAGAAAAATGTCATCATGTATATTGATATATTAATAGGTACAAATAATTCAAATCTCAACTTGATTCAAAACTATTAATAACACTCCGTGCTTTGAGATTGCTTACATTTTAAAAGAATATAAAATATAAACAAAGTATTTTATTCTCAAGAAAAGCCAAAACTTTGAAGACTGAAGTAAATTGCTATAGCACATAAAAATGAACCTCTCACCAGACTGCAGATTTCTGATATATTTATCATCTTCAAGAGGAGTCATTGTTGCCCTCCACGTAAGCCACTTAATATACAGAATAGTGTAGCCTCCACAGGTAATTTGGCACCTTTCAGACATATGCAATCATGTTTGAACTTTCAGATTCAAAAGTGCTTACGGTTGTTTAATGATGTAGCATAGATATTTATAAGATCTTAATAATATATATTTTATTTTTTCTCCAACAAGTCTGTATTAAGAGTGTGTCATGAACCTGGGGTCTGGAGAGCTTATTTACAGAATGGTTTATTTTTTTTAAAAATCCCTCAAAGATTATATTTTTATTCATCATATAAGTGGCTGAATAGTAAAACAGTACAAAATCATGACAACTGACAGAAAATGGAAGCTAGTTTCTAAAACTGGACTTCCTCTGGAACTCAAACCTGCAAAATAAAAATGAAAGCATCTTAATACAGATAAAAATACTTGTTAGATTAATTTTTCAAAACACTGATCGCATGCTATCATTTCTCTTCAAATAACATTTTTATTTCAACTTTCCATTCACTTTCTATTCAATTTTAGGAAGTTTTTATAAAATCTTCTTTTATAAGATGACAGTTTTAAAGGTAACAGATGGAAAAAGAGAATATCTAAACTGGCTAATTTTTTATAACACATAGATTAAGTTTTGACCCCTATGAAATAGAAACGATTTTCATTTTGTTACAACTGCAGGCATGAGTGATTCAGGAGTGAGTTAATCATCCATAGGGGAGATATTCAACTATTATCATGTGCTAACTCTGAATGACTGATGCTAGCTGCTTTGAATATTGTATTGTGGAGGACTCAGACATTCGAGTCAGACCAGTGAGAATGTAATGATTAATGAGCTATGTCTGCAAGGAATACAGAAATGGTGGTACATATACATATTGTTAATATTTGTCAGTCCTATTCTGAGTCATATGATTACCAATCGAGAAGCTTTTGACTTTGTGTAACAGAATCATGAAATTATATATCAATGGTACATCATTGATGTTTTTGCTTTAGATTCTATGCACAACTATTTGTAATACACATAAACAAACTTTCCCTCGCATTTGAAAATGGGACCACAGGCCTCTTATTGATTTACTTGTTAATTTAAAATTTAAACAATGGACTGGAGCATTTCATATCAACCCGGTTTCTTGCTAAACTTCTCTAGGTTCAAAATTTAGAATAGCAGTGGTGGCTCAACTTACTTGACATTTTTGGAATCCTAATTTCCTCACTGCTGCTTCCATCCCCACCATCACTAACTGTCCTTATTTCAATCAAGTAATCTTCTTCAAACGGCACCAGAAGCTCAGCTGATGTATTATTTGTTTCCAAAATGTGAATTTTACTTTGTCTGTTTTGCCTATACAGAATCTGAATAAAATGGGGAATCGTGTTAAAACTGATATGGAACAATGAATACATATCATTTAAAGACTGTTCCATCCTCAGATGGAAATAGCAGGTGAAGTTTTTTCATTAAATTCAGTTGTTTTGGTTAAGAGAAAATCTTATTGTTTGCCCAATGCCTCTAAGATGAGAGTAGATTTTCTCTATTAATTCAGTAGCTTGAGGCTCTTATCTTCAGCACTTGCTGTGAAAAGTCACTGTTTAGTTTGGATCCATTTCAAATACCTGGATAAATGGTTCTGCTGAGAGACGATGTCCTCTACCACTGATGGACATGGTTTGTTCAGTGCATTATCTAGTTAAATTCCTTTAATGTTCTTAAAATGCTACATTATAATGCAGACAAAGCTCAGAAATAATATTTGAATACATTACTTATATTTCTTGTCTTACATCTACTCCCTACATCACTTTTTGATGGCAGAGAGGGTCTCTCAAAGAAGTATCATCAAATTTTGTAAAGTTTCATTTATTGAGGCCTCACAGTACACTACCAGGCCTGAAAAGATAGGACCTTTTTTCTGTTACAAATTTGTATCTGATGATGGTTAATGTTTTTGAAACAAGATATTTAAAAGATTTCTATGTTTCCATGTACATAAAATATGGTTTCTATTAGATTGTGACATAACTGGTTTCATACAACCTAACTGATATGATCAGAAGGGTATCTAAATGCTCACCTTGTAGCCCAACACTTCAGACTCATTTTCCATGTTTTTTACATGTTCCCAGTTTAAGCATAATTTAGAATTAATCAATTTCCATGCAATATTCGCTGGTCGTTGACTTGGGGCTTTAAAAAGATAAAGATTTGATCAAAATGAATACTAATTACTTTATAGGTACTTTCAGAGTTATGTAGAGCTGCTAAAACAGAAAAAAACACCCAAAAGTGAATGGCTTTACTAAACAGAGGTTACCTTTCTCACTGTTTAGAAGGCTAAATCTTGATTATGCTCGACCAAACTTGTCAGCAGACCTGTCTATTGATCCAACCTCATTTTTTTCTAGGTGCAAGTATCTCTTGGATGATCCATGACAAAAATTTCTTCCCTGGCTTTTTAAATATTGAGGGTGGTCTCTTCTTTCTTACTCATTATTTGCATTTTTATCTTTATATAATTTTATTTTATCCTTATCGCTTTATTCTGATTTTGTTTTGTATTGTTTTTATTGGGTTTCCCAGGTTGTGAAGCTCAGAAGGAGTGGATGCATAGAGATAATGACTGATGTATGAGTTTATAGGAGATGTAGGGATGCAGGGTGAGAGGGGATATGGATGTAGGATTAAGGAGGGTGAGTGGATTTGGGGAGTAAACAATCAAGGTGGAAGGGTGCACTAGAACTGATTGTGATTATGCAACTCATTTTAAAGGCAATTTAACTATTGGGGGTTGTTTTAAAATTGATTATGGTGATGATTGCACACTTCTTCCTGATATATTTGAACGGTGGAACTCTTGATTGTATGATATGTGGATCAGGTGCCAATAAAATATAAAACAAACAAACAAAAACAACAGACTTGCTGCCATTGAGTTGATTCCATGTCACAGGAACCTTAAGGACAGAGGAGAACTGAAAGCCCTGTGAGTTTCTGAGACTGTAATTCTTTAAGATTGTAGAAAGCTTCCTGTTGTCCCGACTGTGGTTTGGAAATGGTGGTTTTGAACTGCTGACCTTGTGGTGGGTAGCACAATACTTAACCAACTACACTACCAACTTGCCTTATTTAGAAGAACAGATTTCTGAATTGCAGGCACTGTCTCTATGAAAAAGACTTGCCTATCTGCCTGGGAGGGGGTTGTAAGTAGATCATTGTGATTGGTCCCCCCCACCCCCACCTTCCCCTTCCCCTCTTGGTATGGCTACCCTCCATATGGTCCTGAAGGGTTTATCTGTCCTGGATTCCCTGTGTTTCCAGCTCTTATCTGTACCCATGTTCATTCTCTTGTCTAGCCTGATTTGTAAGGTAGAATTGGGGTCATGATAGTGGGGGGGGGGGGGGGGAGAGCATTAAAAACCTAGAGGAAAGTTATATGTTTCATCGGTGCTATACTACACCCTGACTGGCTCCTCTCCTCCCCACGACCCTTCTGTAAGGGAATGTCCAGTTGCCTACAGATGGGCTTTATGTTTCCATTCTGCACTGGCCTTCATTCACAATGATATGATTTTTTATTTTGGGTCTTTGATGCCTGATACCTGATCCTATGGACATCTCACGATCACACAGGATGGTGTGCTCCTTCCATGTGGACTTTGCCACTTCTCAGCTAGATGGCTGCTTATTAACTTCAAGCCTTTAAGACCCCAGATGCTATATCTTTTGATAGCTGGGTACCATCAGCTTTCTTCACCACATTTGTTTATGCACACATTTTGTCATCAGCAATAGTGCCAGTAATCATCCCCATCTCTTCTTGCTTTCTCATCCTTATTGCTTTGATACCTCAAAAGATTTACTTAAAATACACCTAACTTTAATCCTATCTTATTTAAATAACAAAGGCTACCCAAATGCGAATGGGTTTATAATTACAAACAAGTTAGGATTTACAGTAAGTACATTCTATTGATTCAATCCATAATCCTTAACACAGCATGAAATGAAAACAAACAAACCTCTTGAATTATTAGAAGTTATATGTTTTCAGTTGCATTTAAAATATCATTAATTATCATCAGGGTAGGCAAATTAATTCAGATTCTGGTTATTTTGGGATGTTGTCATGACAAATTTATGAATGAGTAATGGCTTGGGCATGTCCAATATTCATTTATTAATCACTGCTTTTGAGCTTGTATACTACTTTGTCATAGTAAATATACAGAAATCCCATTATCTTATGCTCCCTTGTGCAATTAATCAATGCATGTGTTAACCCAAAACTAGGAAAAGCATTCATTCCCAGTATTCTTTTGCCTTTTAACCTTGTATTTGTTAGATTTCTGTAGTTGCAAAGGACACAACCAAGTTAAGATATTGTAAGCCAAATGTTGAGAATAGATTATTGAAACTATAAAGCAGTCTCTCAGGGTTTATGTCAGAAAGCACAAGAGCCTACGCAAGGCTGAATACAATTATTTTGAAAGCCATGAGATCATTTCTGTTTTCTCACAGTCATGTTTATTGTATACTCATCATGCTATGCCTCTGCCCATTCTTAGAATATGTGGCAGAAACTCTGAATGCCCACCACATCTGAAGGTTTCAATAGTTTCAAAGATAAATGCCCAAGCTATAAATCCAGGTGGAAGCTGGTGAGTGGTTTAATTTGTCCATGTGTCTACCTTAGCCCAGCCAAGGGTAGCCACATAGTGAGAAGGCATATGTCATTTCAAATAAATCCTGACTCGTATTCACTGGCATGGAGTCCATGCCTACTCAAAGTGTCCCTATACTATAGGAGATGGTAGAAAACTGTCCCCGTAAGTTTTCAGGAATATAATTCTTTACAGGAGTAGAAAGCTGCATCTTTCTCCCAAGGCGGACGATGGACTTTGCATTAAGCATAACCACTATACTGCCAAGGCTCCTCAATTCTGACTCATAGCGATTCTATGTGGGGTTTGTGAGGCTGTGAATCTTTACAAGAACAATTAGCTTCATTTTCCTCTTGAGGAGTAGCTGTGAGTTTGAACTACTGCTCTTTCCATTAGCAAGTAGCACTTAACCGAAAACACCACCAAAGTTCCTTAAATAGAGCTGACAGGAGTCAAGAATCCAAACTGTGACTTTTGGATCCCTGAAAGTATTATTGTTGGAAAGGCAGTATTGAGAAGTAGGGAAAAGGGGATTTGGAATCAGCTTCCTAAAATAATATATTTAATCCAACTAGAGAATTTCATATGTAAGAAAACTGGATTAGGCAACTACAGTTAATGAGTGGCTGAGACAAATAAGAATTATAGTCTACTGGTTTCTCAGCTAGTATTTCCC